TTCCTTGCGGAGCTGACGCAATTCTTTGCTCTGCCCCTCGTGCACCTGGCCGCCCCTCTTGCAAGCTGCCATGAGACATGGCCTGGCGTCGAGAAGCAAACGATTGTATACGACCCCTTCCAGCTCCGCAAGCTGGCGGGAGCTGGCAAGCGTGAGGCGCGCGACCGCCCTGAGCAAGCGACCAGAGCCCTTGCCCTCTTTCTTGCCCTTGGCCTCCTTCTCCTTGCCCCCCTGGGCGTTTTCCTCGTCTCCTTGTCTCACTGCTTCCTCCTCCCGGCGGCGATTCTGGCTGAACCACCCCGGCAAGGGCAGCGCGTCCCCAGCCCCGGTCGCCATGCTGTCCAACCACGCCTTGAGAGGAACTGCACACGGCCACCTGCGCTGGCAAATGACTCTGAACCAGACGGCTGCACAAAAACTCCACGTCCGGGCATGCTGCCCCACAGTTCCGATGCCCCAAGCTTTTCGGTTGGACGAGAAGTACCAGCGCGCGTGCGCCGCGCATCGTGCATTTACCCCGAGCGAGAGAATGTGTTAAATACAGACACGCCGTCCATCTATCTCAGAATATCTGTCGGCTGAGACTGCAAATGTTCGTCGGCGTCAAGACGGCAGCAGCATTAAATTGACCATGCGCTGTCCTCAGACGGCCCATCACAGCCTGAGCTGTTCTGAAAGTTTCTCCGCGACCCTGTTCGTAACATACCCAGGGTTCCGTCGGGATTTCCTCGGGGGCGGGATGCTCGACACCTGCGGGGCAGCGCGAACCGCGCCCGCTGGAGGGATGCAGACGCGAAAAGCACGAATTCGAAGCACCGTGGCATCCCAACTGAGAAACTCACCATTACGCTCCCCATGTGTGAGAATCCGAACAGCACCTGCTAAGTCCCCAACCTCCTCACAAACCGTAGCTGCTACATCCAAGTCCTCCTGAAACTGCCGAGCCCAAGGAGAAGCAGAAGCAGAGGCGCGCCCGTTCACAGCCGTGTCACCCCCCTCGAAGGGAAACTTCCCTAGCAGCGCGCACATCACATGTGAATGCCCCATTGGATCGTTTTTTCCCCCACCCTTGATAAAGCCGAAGTCGTCTTACTCGAAGCTCGGTTTCGCAGCCGACGTTTTTCCGCCGCGTCAGAATCTGCTCGCACGTCAAAGACTTGAAATGGCACGAGGAGTCTCTGTCCGTCGCCTCGCCCTGCATAGCACTCTTACCCAATGAAGAAATGCACAAATCCAGGGACTCGTAATCGTGTTTGTTTAGGGCGAACGATTCCACCGCCGAAAGGACCGTGTTAACGACGATGCCGACGAAGATCGAGCGCCGCCACTTGATCGGCAACGGGAGCGACCAGAAACCGCCTAACGCGAAGAATGCCTTCTTGGCTGCAGCGCAGCGCCGCCTGACCTCCGAATGCACCGCCCCCGTCATAGATAGGTAAGGTCCCAAGTATCTCGCCTCCCCGACCACCTTCCCCTTCACGCCTAGCTGTGCTGAGTCACCAAGAGCGCGGACAAAATCATAAGCTCATTTCCCCGGGAAATGGAACAAATACTCTCGCTCATCTCTATTCTGGCCTATTGCATAAGGCTGCAGTGCTTCGTCTAGTCGATCATCCACAACCTGCGGTTTCCGTAAAGCCCATCAAAAATCAAATTCGATTCGGCCAAAACAAATCGAATAAGATCGTCAGCAAACTTAAAAACATTCAAATCTACCCGCGAGGGCTCGAAAGAACCCACCAACTGCCGAGTCCGGGCGTCCTCGCGCGAGAGAGAATGCCGCACCAAACCGTAACCGGGCGCAAGAAAGTCTCCACGAAGCAATGCGCCGTGAACGGATCGCCCATGACCCCGCCCTGCAAAGTTTTTAAAAGGTAGATCCCCATCTTGTCCTGGTAAACTAACTGCAGCTAAATGATAACGCTGTCGACGCAATTCGCGATCTATCTCCGCGACCTTCACGTCCATGCTGACGTCCATTACTGACCATGCCATGCTGGCAAATGCATTCGTCATGTCTTTTAAGGCAATCGTGCGCGTTCTGCGGCACTTCCTCAATCTCCAGCTCAAAGCCTGCACTGCCAAGATGGGGTCCTCTCTTCTCCGTCCTGGAAGGAACCCGTGGTCCATCAAGGACCCGAGCGTCTTGACCCTACGAGCGTAGAACGCTTTGCCGATCGCGGGTAGGAGGCGGACCAGCCGTCGCCCCTTGGGGCCAGGCGTATCAGATTTAGGTAGAGCAGCCCCTTGTGATTTATGTCAATAAAGCGGAAGCAACCCATAAAGACGCATCTTGAAAAGGCCCGTCTCGAGCAGTCCCCAAAACAAAAGAGCCCCTGGAGGATTCAGATTCGCCCCAAGACCCGCCCCACGTCGCAAGCGCCGACGCGGATGCAACAGAACGTGCCACAATTCCAGTGGGAGTGTATCGTGTGGGACGCTCTTCCGTTTCGCAGCCCTGCGGATGTAGGCACGAATCGAACTAGTGTCTGACTGTGGCGTCTCCGTGAGCTCCTCATTCCTTTCCAAGGGATACTCCTGTTCTTCCCGCTCAAGCCGCCAAGGGTCCCACTGCAAGGGCACCACCTGCACCCCCCCGCTACTTCCTTCCTGCGACCGCGTCGAAAGCCGAGACTCCATGGTAGGAAGGGCGCTTCGTACCCATCGGCAGTCTCGTTGTTTAGGCCCGTACCTGGAAGATGTAACCCGCCTGCACACTCTCATCGCCTCGGCCGTCCGTCGGCCTCGCAAGAACTCTCGAGCCTCTCGAGGAAGTTGGGACCTCCTCGCACGCCGAGAGGAGCGCCGCTGCTGCCGAAGCCGAGAAGATACCTGCTGCAACTGACGCTCCAGATCCTGCAACGATCCCGGATCCGCTCCTTCCCGTCCTCCCTGGAGGTCAGCTCTCGCCCGTAAAAGCTGGCGCCGGTGGGCCGACTCCGAAGAATAAGTCGAAGTGGGAGGACTCTGTGTAAAGAAAAGCTTGGCCGCTTCAATACAACAACTTCTGAGCGTCTCGAAAATAGTGTCCGGCGAGCCACGTTCAATAAGATAACGAATTTGTTGGCAATGTAGCTGTTGATTAACCGACTCCAAATACTCTGATCTGTTAGCACCGCTTAGAAGTCCGTCCGTCAATTTAGTATAGTCCCAACGCGTACGTTCAAGATGTTCAGGGGACGAACCGTACTTATCATATGAAAAGGCTAGGATGACGGGGACGTGGTCCTGTGGAGGGGGTCCGGAGAAGGCCTGAAGACGAGCGCCCAAACGATGATGCACATGGCAATGCAGAACGCGAGCGGGAGGATACGCCATGTAGTCCAGTCTGCTACCGTTACCCTTGGGGGAGTAGTACGTAGGTTCCAAATGCTCAGAGAACGTGTTCCCTGCCACCAGAAAGTGCTTCTCGAAGGTGTTCCGAGACAAAGCTCCCGCCCCACGCACGAAATGCTCCCTGCTCGCAGTTCCAATCGCCGAGCTCGATACCGAACGCCACTCTCCATCCACGAAGCTCTCCCCCATCCTGTCATCGAGGTCGCCGACAAAAAACTGGAAGACATCGAGCTGGTAGAGCGTCCAGGACCCGTTCTGCCCAGTCTGACAAATCTCAAGGGGCCCAAGGACATACAAATAAATACACACACATAAAAAGGATTCCCCATAGTTTCCCATATTTTCTGGGCTTTTGTCTTCCCCCCCACTTACCATATTTTCCCATATTTTCTCGGGAATCGACGATTAATTGTGTCTGTGTGTTTTTTCCCTCCTGAAAATCCCAGGCAATTTTCAAGTACCCACTACGCTTATCCCTCCGACTCGGCCTAGGTGGACAATGCACGGCCATAAAACATGAGTCGCTGCAGCCCTTCTTAACACGCACTGCAACCGCCCGCCCTCCCAAGGATGGAGGGCTCCCCCAGACTTGATGGATGTGCGGCGCCTTGATGAACTTTGGAAGCCCGATGCAGACCCCGCAACTCCTATTGCTGCGAGGTTCCGAAGTCGCAACCATTTCAACAAAAAGCCTTCCCAGGACCCAGGACCCGTTTCTGCAGTACCTTACCGATACTATCTCGTGCCGATGCCAGTGTGCCCACCAATATTACCGCGTCGAAATTGCCCAATTCAGACGTGATCTCCTCCAATCGCTGCCCGGTTGCCGATTGTGGGTTCATACCAATCACCTGGAGGATGGGCTGGCGCTGAGACGCCATGGCAAGCACTCTCGGCTGAGCACTACATGTGTCCTACTGCCCCCCCTCACTTGAAGACTCTCGAGCAGGGGCTGGAGGAGGAGGAGGACGAGGAGGAGGAGGAGTAGGAGGAGGAGTAGGCAGCCGTTGCCCGCGCGGGGTAGGGCGGGCGGCGGCACTGCGGCGCCGCCGCCACAGGGGTCGCACGGAAGGAGGACCCCGCCATGCCACCCGCAGCGGCGGCGGCCCCCTCCTGGCGGGCGCCCGCGCCCGGCAGGCCAACACCGAGGCCCGCGGCCGTAGCCGCTGGCGCTGCTCCCGGGGGCTTGGGCGAGCCCTGGACGCCACTGACGTGGTGACCGAGGCGTCCGCTTCCGCATCCTGTGCTACGCCGATGCGTCGCCGCATGCGCACGAGGCGAGCAGCCATGCGCGACGTCTTTGCAACGGGAGAGCGGCGGTTGCCCCCCTGTACCACCTGGCCTCATGCCACCAGGCTGCTGGAAGGTCGACGCCGCGAAGCCCGACGAGAAATTCGAGGTGGCCGGGGTAGTGGCCCCCCTGGATGACAACGATCCCCTTGGCGTGTTCATCGAGGGCACGTTGGGTGTTCCAAGCCTCGAGGTTGCGCTCATCCGTGTGAATAAACCGATGAGGTGAGTGCTTTGCTTCCTGGTGATGGTGACCACGCTTCGGAGGAGGAGGTCGAGAAAAAAAGGAGGAGGAGGAGGAGGAGGAGGAGGACGAGGTCGAGGATGAGCAGGAGGAGCAGGAGGAAAAGGATGTCCAGGGCCGCGCAGCGATCGGGCCGTCGCTCGGGCTGGCGGCGCTCAGCGGGCGGAGAGGGGTGGCAGGCAGCCGTCGGCGGCTGGGTCGTGCCGCCGCTGGCCTCGGGATTGCGGCCTCCTCGATCTTCTCGCCCTCCCCCTCCTCCGCAATCGCAATCGCAATATGACTCCAGAGCGAGCAGCAGCAGCCGACACTATAACATTGTCCTCCTCATCCTCCTCATCCTCCTCCTCCTCCTCCTCCTCCTCCTCATCATCATCATCATCATCATCATCATCATCATCATCATCATCATCATCATCATCATCATCATCATCATCATCATCATCATCATCATCATCATCATCATCATCATCATCATCATCATCATCATCATCATCATCATCATCATCATCAGCATCATCAGCATCATCATCATCATCATCATCATCATCATCATCATCCATCATCAGCATCATCATCATCATCATCATCATCATCATCATCATCATCATCACCATCATCATCATCATCATCAGCATCATCATCAGCATCAGCATCATCAGCATCATCAGCATCATCATCATCATCACATCATCATCATCATCATCATCATCATCATCATCATCATCATCATCATCATCATCATCATCATCATCATCATCATCATCATCATCATCATCATCATCATCATCATCATCATCATCATCATCATCATCATCATCATCATCATCATCATCATCATCATCATCATCACCATCACGACGACGTTCCAGATGAAAACGTCGCTCTGCATTCTGGGCGGCGCAGTCCTTGGTGCCCTCGGTGATCCTGATCTCCTTATGCTTGGAGAACGTGATCTGGGGGATCGCGTTGAACATGCTGTAATGGGATGTAGCTATACTTGGGTCTATGCAGTCTGCAAGCGTTCTTCACCATTCTATGTCAACCGGCGACTCCAGCCTGGGCTACTCCATGCATGGCTTGGTCGAGTTGGGTGGGCGCCGGTCAGCTGCGGGGTCGTTGCCAACACCCCGAGCCACATGTCTGCGGCGCGCAGTTTACGGGAGTCTGCTGGGATCGGAGGGAATGTAAGATGCGGTGGTGTTGTCTACTGCCCAAACGTTTCCATCTGGTGTCATGGCCAGCTGGGGGGTCATCTCTCTAATCAGGCGCACGACAACCCCTGGCAGAAGCAGACCCACTTGTACTTGAGGTGGCGCCTGTTAGGGGGTATGCTCCGAGTGATGCGGGCCGCACCACTGGCTTGCCGAAGTGGAAGTCACAGCACAGCGGAGGTCGAAGTCGACATTGTTGTCCAAATTCTCCGTCTGAATTTCGGACCCTGCCGCCCCGTGCTGTTTCGCTTCCTTTTGGCGCCCTTCCCCGGTGAATCGGCGTCGATCCCTCTGGCAGGCGCACGAGAACCCTTGGTAGACGTTGCTCAAGTTGCTGTGGATGTATCGCCTAGCAGGGGACATGCCCTGAGCAGTGTAGGCCATGCAACCCATTGTGGCTCCAATCAGGTAGTGGTCGCGAATGCGTTTCGCAGTCGGTGCCTGTGTGGAAATCGCAGTATGCGCCCACGGAATTGTTGATCGCGGCGTAGGTGTTTTCCGTCGCCCACTGGTCGGTCGCGTCCCATGTCCCACCGTGTGATCATAGGTCCAGATAATGCTGCTGCCAGCACCCTCTTGAGCTCGGCGAGGCATTTCTGGCGGATTCGCCGCGCCGCCCCCCGTCCTCGCTCCGCCCCAAGAGTGGTGGATGGGCGCAATGTCCGCGGTTGCATATTCGCGCCGGTAGTCCCGGAGCTCCACTGCAAGCGGGCGCGCAGACTTCCGCGATACCTACGCCATCACGCATTGGTTGCCTGAGATGATTCGCGCTGTGGGCCGCGGAAGTAGGTGCTGTATTTCTGGCGAGAGCCAGCTGCTGGTCACCCGTCTGCTGTCGCGGGCGGTCCCGGGGTGCTCCGCGACGGCTTGGGCCCCCGCGGCGCGCGCGACGCGTGGCGCAAGGGCCGTTGTGCGTAGCAGCTAACTCACAATGTCGATATGGTCGTTCTCGCGTTCCTTCGAGCAGTTGAGGCCCCAATGTTGCTCCCTGCTGCCATCGGGTTGAGGTTGGTTTTGGGCGCTGGGAAGGTCTCGGGTTCTAGCTGCACGCGGCGGCCCTGCCACTGCGACCGCTACCCGTTTACACATGTACCCCTAAGTTGAGAGCCAGGCTTGATCCTATAGGAACTCGGAGCGTGCCCCAAAACAGGTGCATATATGTATCTCTTCTCCTGGGGGGCAGGCGGGGGTAGAGCGACAACCCTAAACAATCAGAGAGACAAAGATCGAATATCTGACACATCAGCAGTAGGTGAGAAGCACTGCTGCGAGCCAGCTCGAGAGGAGGGGTCACCCTCCGAAAGATATTTGTCACGCCGCCGCGGCGGCCCACAGAGGGCCCGAGGGTTACGAGCCTCACGGGGCACCTGAACGTGCCGTGGACTCCGCCTCGGGCCCTGAGAGCTAGGGCTGCACACCCGAAACTACTCAAGCCCCAGGGGGGGCAGCGAGGGAGCCGAAACTTTACGCCAAGGGAGCAGAAGGCGAGCAGGAAAAAACGAGTGGCAAACGATAGTTCTGCTACCACGAAATTGTATTCACGCTGCAAGGGTGGATTTGGGGATCCCCCCTCTGGCCTGCAATCAATGTTGGGCAGATTTCTGCATCACGAAGTAGAACCTGCTACTGCAATATGCTCCTGAATTACAGTGCGAGGCGTCTATCTACACTCGTTAAGGGGTTGTGTAAAAGTGTGTTGAAAAAGCGCGTATTTACACATGCGCCCCAAAGTTGAGAGCCAGGTTTGATCCTATAGGAACTCGGAGCGAGCCCCAAAACAGGTGCATCTATTTATCTCTTCTCCTGGGGGGGCAGGCGGGGGTAGAGCGACAACCCTAAACAATCAGAGAGACAAATATCGAATATCCGACACACCAGCAGTAGATGAGCGCACTGCTGCGAGCCAGCTCGAGAGGAGAGGTCACCCTCCGAAAAATATTTGTCACACAGCCGCGGCGGCCCACAGAGGGCCCAAGGGTTGCGAGCCTCACGGGGCACCTGACCGCACCGCGGACTCCGCCTCGGGCCCTGAGAGCTAGGGCTGCACCCCCAGTCCCGTCGCGAATAGACTGTCACTCGTGCCTCTTGTACTTCCAGCCCCAAACGGCCAGAAACAGGCACTCAATCGGGAGGGAGGGTTGGGAAAGATTGGTGTCGCTCAATGCCCCTCTGAAAAGCCTGCCTTGTTATGAATACCCAAAACACGTTTTTGTGAGGAGGACAAGTGGAGGAAAAGGGCCGACGGGCCCAACTCGCGAGTGCTCCAGCTATGCTAAAGATATGACGGGCCAAGCAGGGCCAGCTGGGCAGCACGCCGACAGGTCAAGGCTCACCTTCTCCTAGCCCTGCTCCTGCCCGCTGTGGAGGCCCTGCTGGACGGCCCCGACGCCCCGCTCGCCATGCTGTCCAAAGGCAGCAGCTCCACCTGCTCGCCCTTGGCCCTCTCGAGCTCCTTCAGCAAACTCTGGGCGAAGGGGGGTCAACGCCGCGTCCGAGCGGTAGGTGGCCTCCGGCAGCAGCTCTGCCGGCCTGCGCCAGAAGGCTCGCCCTCGCTCCAGCTGCGCAGAGGTGAGCTTGCTCCTCTGCTCGATCAGCACGTGCACCTTCGTGTAGCGCTGGAGGGCCGGGGTGGTCCGCCAGCGGCCCTTTCGGCGATCCGCCTCCAAGGGCCCTCCTGCAGCGATGTAGGCCGCGGCGCCCGCATGCCTCAGCGAGTGTGGCGGCCCGAAGTCTGGCAGCCCAGCCCTGCTGAAAGCTTGGCGCCAAGCCCTCCTGTACTTGTCCTGCGAGATTGGGAAGAGCAGGTCGAGCGGTTCGGCGCCCATGCCCGCGGCACGCAGCACGGCCTTGGTCACCTGCCACGTGATCACTACGCCCTGGTTGGCCCCCGTCTTGACCTTCTCGCCCCTCTCCCTGCGGCCCAGGGTGAGCCCCGCTTCGCCGCCCGCGCTCTCCGCCACGTCGGTCTTACGGAGAATGCCCCAGTCCTGCTCCCTCAGCCAGCCAGCTGGAGCAGCGCCGCGGACCGCTCGTGCAGCTGCCCGTGCTCGAATAGGTCGTAGATCGCCATGCCCACGGCTTCGAACGGTACCGGCACCCCTTCTTTCTGAAAGCCCATCCCGGTCCACGACTTCATCGCTCTCGCCGCCACGGGGAGCCGATTGCGGTGATCCTCGAAGATGTGCATAAAACCATTGGACAGCGCTGACGCTCTGCTGAAAGGCAACTGCATCACATAGCACATGTCCGAGATGTAGTTCGCCAGGGCCTCGCCCCGCTGCTCGCAGGTGGCGAAGGGGGCGCCGTGCCGCTTCACGTCCACGAGAAAGGCTTTCACTTCTTTCTCGTAGAGCTGATTTGTGGCGTCATCCACCACGTGCACCACCAGCCTCACATTGTGGTGCAGCTTGTCCTGCGGCGCCTGCACCCACGCTTGAGGTCCTCTCTTCGTCAGCGGCGGCGGTCTTGCCGAGGTCGCCGTCGTGGTGCCCCTCTTGTTAGGCAACACGTCACCCTTCCCGAAGCAGCTCAGCATCGTCACAAGTGCGACCCCCCAGGCTGCGCGAGGGCGCCCTTTCTTGCAGCCGTCGAACTAGCTCCCTCGGCACCCCTCGGCCAACGTGCACGGCCTTCGTGTCGTCCGCCGCGCCGATGCCTAGCCCCCTCGAGGGCCCGTCCGCCAGGTTGAGCTCGCTGGGGACCCACCTGAAGTACCCGCGGATCCTGCAGACCATCTGGATGATGCCTCCGATCCTCGCCAAGTGCAGCAGGTCCTATGCCGAGGAGCGTCCCTTCCTCATGACCCCAAGGCTCACCAGCGAGTCGGTGAAGAAAAGAACGCAGTGGCCCCAGCTCTGCGACGTGCGACTGAGGTGCCTCAGAACCGCCACCACTGTCCTCAGCTCCAGCACGTTGTTGTGCTCCTCGCGCGACCACTTCCCCTGAAACAGGACGTGCCACTTCTTCTCGAGCCAGTGTCCCAGCAGCGGCATCGCCGGACCCG